CAATTTTTTTATTTGATTTTAAGCATTTGGTGACGAAATTTGGTTTTCGTCTCTAAAAATAGTACAATTGGAGGCGAAATCTTATTTTCATCACTAAAACATGTATATTTGGAGATGAACTATTTTTTCGTCACGCGTTTTTGTCACCATAGACCTTTTTTGTTGTAGTGGCTTAATATGACCGAGATGAGTTACAGCATGGCTCGACAACCTGGGATACGGATGATGGAGTGTTTATTGGTGATGAAATATTTTCGTTTTCCATAACTTATCCTTCCCAGACAAAAATATATTTGTCGCCTAATAAATGGAAATATGCAACGACATCGTTTAATAGGTATGGAATTTATTGGCGACGAATTACGTTCGTCACAAAAAAAATTATATTTTGTGACAAAAAATGTTCGTCTCCAATGAGCTAAAATAATTCGCGCCAATGCAAATGAAATTGGCGCCTCATTTTTGCACACAAAATTTTATTTTCGTCACCTATACTTTTGAGAAAAATTAAAACAAACGACAAAATTAATATTTCGTCATCTTTGGCTTAAATTTTAAGACATAAAAAAATTCGTCACCAAATTTTGTCACAATAGCCTAGATTTCTTGTATTTTTTATTGATTTTAAGCATTTGGTGACGAAATTTGGTTTTCCTCTCTAAAAATAATACATTTGGAGACGAAATTATTTCCTCTCTAAATTTTTTTACAATGGTGACGACAAATTTCATCTCCAAAATGGCGCCAAATCTTCCATCAAATTTTCCAAGGGCGAGAAATTGTTTTGTGACGAAAAATAAAATTTAGAGACGAATAAAATTTTCGTCACCTATTGTTTTATTTGATTGTAAGCATTTGGTGACGAAATTTGGTTTTCGTCTCTAAAAATAGTACAATTGGAGGCGAAATCTTATTTTCATCACTAAAACATGTATATTTGGAGACGAACTATTTTTTCGTCACGCGTTTTTGTCACCATAGACCTTTTTTGTTGTAGTGAATATTTAAATTTAAAATAAGCAGGGAAATTTGGTCGGAGGACTGGGATACTTGGTCAGGAAAATGGTGCCATTTGCTGAGTTCTTGTCAATGACATTGACATCATTACATTGCCTATTGACTTAAAATCTTGATCACAGCACACCCATCTTATCTCCACACCCTCCCGTGAGAATGACTGCACTACACCACTCACTTCTTTTAACAGTGTTAACAACTTCACTCTTCCATTTCCTCTACTAAATCAAATTAATGAACGTTATGAATTGACTTGAATCCCATCTCTGTAACAATTCTTTTAAGTTTTTATTCTAGGTCATTTTAGACAACAATCATTCCCAAAGTTGTCTCTTCCCCCCCTCTTTTTATCAGCATGCTCGTTTACTCTCCTTTGTCTATTAAGTTGATCTTTTTCCTACCTCACTGAACTTGTCCACCAAGTTATTTAAAAAATGTAAGTGAAGTTTTTCATGTAATCCTATATGCAGTCCTCTAGATTTCACGACTTCTTAGCATATTGCTAAAATTTTTTGGTTGCCTCTTTTCATATTGAAAAGAGGTTATTTACCTCAAATCTAATTCTGCAGTCTTTCTTGTTTGGCAATACCAACAAGCAGCCTGTTATTTTGGGCATCTGATGAGTTATACCAGTATTACTTATAAGGAAGTTTCATAAAGAATGAGACACTTGTAATCTTATAAACATAATGTCCACAATCAAGATAAAGGAAACATGCACAGAACTTGACAGAAGATACCTGTAAGGTTGCTGAGACGTTCTTTAAGTCTTGAATCTTTTAAGCCAGTTCCAGATACAAAAGCTACATCTGTTCTGAAAGAAATCTTACCCGAGATCTGCATAAAAACCAGAAAAGCATATGGGGTAGAAAAGAAATGGAAGCCTGAGAATGGCAATCATAGTCCGTGGACACCTGTAACCTATTACATCCCTGACTGCCTACCTGAAATACTAAAATGTTTGAAGATTCATTGGAAGTGTCTAGAGTTGCAAACGACCAAAAATCACAAACAGATTTTCTTCGAGGCTCATCTTTTGTTTCTAGATTGAGGTGGAAGAATCGAAATAGTAATGGCATGGGGTTGAGATTTAAAAAATCATGCAGCTAATTTGAGGGTGACCTAATCTAGAAACAAATTCATGTTTAATGTTCATTATAACTAAAGATGATCCTTCACCTTTGTTTTGGGTGAATGGATGATCCTTCACCTAATTAGACAGCATTTTCATTTTAGGTCTTTCCACTTCATCTAAAAGCAAAATCATGAAAAAAAAATTGTGATCTTGCCATTGAATTAAGATGGTCAGTACTAAGATTGTAAGATAGCAAAGCATTGCCGACTTTCCAAAATGGCCCAAATAACTACTTTCTAGATGTGAATCAACAAGTAAGAATGCTTGATTACTATTCACTATTCAGATCTTAGACTTATGTTGTTTTCCCCTAGGCAATAGAGTATTCATAGAACAAATAAAACTAATAGAGTAATATAATTCAATAGCGATTCGTAGCTCGAATTTACCAAGGCCCGAATGGCTCGAGGTCGTTTTGGCACCATTTTTTTTTTTTTTTCTCTCCTTCCTTCCCCTCTCTTCCTTCCTCTGTTCTAAATCCAAACTCAAATCACTTCCTTTGTTCTAAATCCAAACTCAAATCAAAATCAAAATCAAAATTTTTTATTTTTTATTTTTCCTTCCCCCTCTCTTCTTCATTTTCTTCCTTTCCCCTCTCTTTTTCCTTACTTTTCCGGCCGGCCAACAAATTTAAAAGAAAGAAAGGAGGAAGAACAGATTCGGCCAACAAATTTAAAAGAAAAGAATGGAGGAAGAATTGATTTGTAAAAAAGAAAAAAAAACAAACAAAGAAAAGAACAGAGAGTAGAGAGAGGAGAACAGATCTGTGTATACACACAGAAAAGGGTAATCCAAAATCAAATCAAAACCAAAACCCACAAAATAAAATAAAATAAAAAATCAAAACTCAAAATCAAAACCAAACCCAAAATCGAAATTAAAATCAAAACCAAACATTTGGCAATTTTTTTTTTCCCTCTTTGAAACTGGTAACCGAAAGGCGAAATAAAGAGAAAAGGGAAGAGAGAGAGAGAGAGCCCACCATCGCAGAGAGAGAGCCCACCGTTGCAGTTGAGAAGGAAGAAGAAGAAGAAGAAGACCAAGGCAGAGGAGGAGAATAGAGAAGAGAGAGGGGGGGTCGGGCCATTTGAGCCCTTCTTTTCTCGAGCTACGAGGCTTTACTCAATATAATTTTATGCACAGATATTACATGAAACAAACACGCTATTGTGCACCAAGACAATCAAACAACACAGAAACAGAAGAAATCTTTCTACATAAGGTTCAAGATAACCAAGTCAATATACAAGCAAAGTAGGAAGCATTTCGAGTAATTGAATCTAAACCGTTCTTATTGAACGAATACATTTGTGTAATTGATATGAATTATAAATTAGGAAGAAGAAAACTAGGGCACAAGCCTTTGGCTGTGGGTTTCTTGGCAAAGATGTTCATGATTTATAGAAAAAAACATGGACATGGTCAATATAATTTGCTTTTCAATTAATCAAGGATCGAAGAGAGAAAGAACGAACCTGAATCTAGAGCGAGAGAGACCCAATCGACGACGGAGATAGAGACAGAGAAGGAGACGGAAACGGAGATGGAGCACTGTGTAAATAATTAATGGAGACGTAGTGATTTGTTTTGTTCGTTGTGTGTGAAGAGAGGAGGCCTAACTACCTCTCACTATGCCTAAATAAGGTGGGTATATATAATACATCTCTCATTGCCTTGCTACTGGCTTAAATTACCTGCTCAAACTTAACCCAATAATGTGATGATGATTAAGTGGGTATTTGGGATTGATTTTGTAATATTTTTTTCGTTAATTTTATTTCATTTTTAGTGCTTTTAATTTTAAAAAATAAATAATGTTTGAATTGTTAAATCGTATCTTGGAGAATATGAATTGAATATTTAGGCATGTTAACTACTATTTTTGCTATAAAAAAATACATTTTTTTTATTTTCTTCATTTTATTGATTACAATTTATAGCGATCCCGGGTTTACCCTTGTTGTACAGTGATCCGGACATGTGTCCGTGGATGTTGATAGTTGGTTATTATCGTGTTTACATTCCTTTTTCTAGTAAATAGGAAATGAAAAGAATACCAAAAATGCTGACTTTCAATATTTTGAGGACGCTCCTATTTTACAAAAGTGGATTATTATATTTAGTGGGTTACTATTTGGTGATAAATGTTATTTGATTTGGTGTTAAATTTAATTTTTCTAGTTAAAGTTTTCACAACATGCAAATGTATGTCGTATAAAATTATGATGCATTATGGTGTGAAATGCATGTCGTTTTAAGTATAAATATTCCACAACGATTCTTGCAAGCCATAAAAGTATATTTTTTTTACGGCATATTTTTACATGTCGTAAATATATGAATCAACGACTTACATGGCATGTATGCTGTAATTGATAAAGTATTAATGGCTTCAACGATTCTTGCAAGCCATAAAAGTATATTTTTTTTACGGCATATTTTTGCATGTCGTAAATATATGAATCAACGACTTACATGGCATGTATGCCGTTATTGATAAAGTATTAATGGCTTGCAAAAAAAATATCGTAGAATACACTAATTATGACAAACATTTGATGTATGCCGTAAACGTAAAGCGGTAAATAGTTAATTTTAATCTACTTGAAATTTATAAATATTTAAGAACATCTAGAATTTTTTTTTATTATTTATAATTAAAATATAATTTATCTAGACAATGAGATGGTTTGGGACAAAAACAGGTATGGATCTAGAACGAAAAGAAGTGTGGCGTAAGTTTTTAAATAAAATTTGTTTTTGTAACTTTTTAAATTCAAATAATTTACATATACTTAGAAGGAAAATATTTTTTAATTTTCTAAAAAAATCAACAATTTCAAAAAAATATAAAATTTAATATTTTACGACATAAAATGTATGTTGTCTTAAGTGCAAATATTTTATAACATATTTTGGTGTGCCATGAAAATGTACGTTTTTTACGGCATACTTTTGCATGTCATAAAAAAATTGGATTGAATTTTTTTTTTTTTTTTTGTAGAAGTTTTCACGACATTCATTAGCATGTCGTGTAAAGTTATAATATTTTACAACATGAAATGTATGTCGTCTTAAGTGTAAATATTTTACGACATATTTTTGTAAGTCGTAAAAACATACATTTTTTTGCGGCATACTTTTGTATACCATAAATATATGAATTAACGACTTACATGGTACGTACACCGTTATTGGCAAAACATTAACGACTTGCGGAAAAAAAAATATCGTAGAATGTACTAATTACGACATGCATTTAATGCATGCCATAAACATAATGCTGTAAATAGTTAGTTTTGTTGTAGTGAAGGTGTTTGCTTTCATAAGCTAAATTACCAAGATCCTTTTGGGGTGAGGCAATGAGGACAGCAGTTGACGTGATCAATTTCTCTCCTTCCTATCCTTTGAATGGTAATATTTCCGAAAGAATTTGGACCGGTAAAGATGAGTCTTATGAGCACTTGAGAGTGTTTGGTTGCCGTGCTTTTGTCCACATTCCAAATGATGAGAGATTCAAGCTTGATAGCAAGACAAGGCAATGTAATTTTCTTGGCTATGGGCGTGATGAATTTGGTTATAGATTGTGAGATCCAGTCGACAAGAAAGTCCTTCGAAGCCGCGATGTTGTGTTTCTTGAAGACCAAACAATTGAAGATTTTGGCAAATGTGATCAACCAGAGCCAAAAAGTAGTGATCTCATTGACATGGATCCATCTCCTTCATCTTCGGTGGATGATGAAAATGGGGGAGATGTGCAGCCACCTATTAAAGATGTAGAGGATGATGCTAATCCTAATGAAGTTGAGCCAAAAATAAAGGAAGAACATCTAACTCAAGAACCGCCACCACAACTTAAGTTGAGGAAATCTACAAGAGACTGGCAACCTTCGAGAAAGCACCCTCTGAATGAGTTTGTGTTGATTTTCGATCAAGGAGAGCCTGAGAGCTACCAAGAACCAATTGAGTATGCAAAGAAAGGTGATTGGAAAAAGGTCATGGAATAGGAGATGCATTCCTTACTTAAAAATCACACTTATGATTTAGTGAAGTTGCCTAAGGGGGGGAAAATTCTGAAAAATAAGTGGGTTTTCAAATTGAAGAATGATGGCAAGAATCTGAGGTAGAAAGCACGTCTTGTTGTGAAAAGGCTTTAGGCAAAAGAAAGGTATTGACTTTGATGAGATTTTCTCGCCGGTTGTGAAGATGTTTTCCATTCAGGTTATACTAGGCATGGCCGCAAGTATGAACCTTGAAGTTGAGCAACTTGATGTGAAGACCGCATTTCTTCATGGTGATCTTGAAGAAGAAATTTACATGGAGCAACCAGAGGGTTTTGTAGAAAAAGGGAAAAATAAATTTATTTGCAAATTGAAGAAAAGTTTGTATGGCCTAAAGCAAGCCTTGCGACAATGGTACAAAAAATTTGACTCTTTCATAAAGGATAATGGTTTTTCTAAAACCATTTCGGATCATTGTGTGTTTGTGAAAATTTTTTCAGATGGGAAATTTATTATTATTTTGCTTTTATGTTGATGACATGTTAATTGTGGATTAAGATTCTACCATGATTAACAGGTTGAAATTGGAGTTGAGCAAGTCTTTTGCTATGAAAGATTTGGGATTGGCAAAGTAAATACTTGGTATGAAAATTGTTCGTGATCACAAAGAGAGACTGATTTGGTTGTCTTAACAAAGCCACATTGAGAAAGTTTTTGAAAGGTTCAACATGGATAAGGCAAAGCTGATTGGTTGTCCACTTGCGGGTCACTTCAAACTTAGTTTGAATCAATGTCCTACAAGTGAGAAAAACAAGGAAGAGATGCTGAAAATCCCTTATGTTTCAACGATTGGTTCTTTGATGTACGCTATGGTTTTTACAAGGTCGGATATTGCTTACGCCGTTGGTGTGGTGAGTCGTTTTCTCTCTAATCTGGGTAAAGAACATTGGGTAGCAGTAAAATGGATTCTAAAGTATCTTCGAGGGACTTCAAAGGTGTGTTTGTGTTTTGGGGATGGTAAGCCGATGCTTGATGGATTCATGGATTCTGACATGACTCGTGATGTTGATTCTAGAAAATCTACTTCGGGGTATTTGATGACTTTTTGTAGGGGGAGCAGTGACATGGCAATCTAAATTACAAAAATGTGTTACTCTTTCAACTATCGAAGCTGAATTTATTGCCATTACGGAAGCTTGCAAGGAAGAGTTATGGTAGAAGAAATTTTTGCAAGAGTTGGTTTTGAAGCAAGAGAGGTATATGCTTTATTGTGATAGTCAAAGTGCCATTCATTTGAGTAAAAATTTTATTTTTCATTCGAAATCGAAACACATTGATGTGAGATACCATTGTATTCGTGATGTGTTAGATTCGAAATTGTTACAACTTGAAAAGGTTTACATAGATGATAATATTTCAGATATGTTGACTAAGATTTTGTTGAGGGACAAACATTTAAAATGTCAAACTTTGACCGGTATGGTTGATGTCTCCACCTAAGTCGGTAGGGGGAGAATTGTTAGATATACCTCCTTAGTGGAGAATGGGACCCAATTGGTTTATTAAAATATTTAGTTTGATTTGGTGTTGGTTATAATATATTTTTAATATATTATATCTAACTTTTAGAGGCTCAATAGATATTTAATAATATGTTTGGTAGCAACTAGGGTTTTGTTAAAAAGTCCAAGATTAAATAATATATTGATATATATATTGTTTTCTTCCGAAGAAGCTAGTAGTAGATTCAATTATTCGGTGAGTTTGGCTTTGTGGTGGTGCAACACCTTTTCGATATACATCTTTCTCAGTAAACTAGCTTGCTGCATAAGTTCAATTGGTGGGTTCCATTGTTGTCGTGCATCTTCGGCTGGTTTGATTGGAAGTTGATTCGGGTAATTATTTTGGATCTTCTATAATTTTGTTTTGAAGATTTTTTGTTCGCCTATTTGGTGAAGTCTTTCCTTTTGATTATTTGTGAATATTTGAAATTCACCTAAGGGTGATTTTTTGAGACCATTCGTGTTTTGTTTGTAATTATTTGGAAACTTTTTGATTGATAATGGAATCGGATTTCGGTCCCGTGAACTTACCTCACATTGAGGGAACCATGTAAAATTTTTTGTGTTGCTGTTGATTTAATTTTTTCACATTAATATTTATTCCTATTGATTGATTTATTTGTGGGAAATCATCGATTTTCCCCAACAATTCTTTGCCCAGATTCAAATGGAAGATACTGAAAATTGTTACCGGTGTAGTCCCATTTGTTGTGGTCGCCCAAGAACTTCTCTGGCCTGAACTCTGATGGATTGTCCCATACTTTAGATTCCCTATGCATTGCCCAAACATTCAATAACAACTTGGTACCCTCTGGTATGGTGTATTCACCGACTATGCAAGATTGGTTAGGAGACCGGGGGACTAGAAGAGGGAGTGCAGTGTGTAGACGAAGTGTTTCCTTCATGACTGTGTCCAAGAAGAGTAATTTGGGCAAATGGGACTCTTCGACAATGTTGTTAATCCCTACAATATCTGATAATTCTTCTTGGACTTTTTTCATTACCTCTGGCTTGTGCTATAGAAACAGATATATATCACACTAATTGAAGCAACTCTAATTGACAGTCGAAGAATGCACTTGTCCAAAATAATGTGATCGAAAGAATTGTAGCGCATGAAAAAAAGTTGAACTACAAATTTCAATTTTGAAATTTCTCATCTTCGATTATGGTTGACATACTCTTAATTTTGATTTTTTAATCAATTTTCACATTGTTTATTTTAATATTATATTTAAATTATAAAAAATTTAATACGAAAAACTAGAAGTGCTGTGATCATTGTAGTGTAGGAATGGTGTCGGTGGTGGAGGAATTCTGTTAAAGTTTAATGGAATATTTTTTTTTTCAATCAATTGAAATATTTATTTAAAAAAATAATTGGGCAAATTACTTTGGTGGTCCTTGTATTTTGCTCCTAGTATCATTTTGGTCCTTACACTTTCAATTGACTTGATTTTTGTCCAATTGATTACATCGTAAGTGTCTTTTAATAAAAAAAATCATTAAATTGGTTGCGGTTAACTTGTTAAGTTGGGTAAATTTATAATTTTTTTTCTTAAAAATATGACACAAGACACTTATGTGCATATTTTTCATAAAAAAAAATGTTAAGAATTATAACTAATTGGGCCAAATTGAGACAAAATCATCATAAATTCAAGGTCAAAATTGAGCCAATTGAAATTACAAGGACTAAAATAACATAAAAATCAAAATATATGGACTACTGCCGTAATTTGTCTGAAAATAATTTCATATGCAATTGTGAAATTTCAATGAGTGTGTGGTGGTTAGCGGTGGTGGTGGTTGTGGAATTTGGTTTTTAAATATGTAATTCAGATAGTAAAATTTTACTATCTAAGCAAACATTAAGGTAATAAATTTAATATTTTTGGTTGCAATTTCATTTTATCAATAAAATCTTCTTTTAATAATATTTTCACTGTAATGGTTTTGGAATTCTACTTTTAAATGCTGAATATAGACCGCAAAATTTTATATTGTCTAGTGTTAATGTTAAATAATAAAATTTTATCATGTTTTTTAATATATTTGATTTCAAAATTTTATAATTGATGTGGTTTTTTTTGATATAATTGACAAGAGAATTTTAACAATATCATTTTTGTTAAAAATGGACATCTTTATTACAAAGTTATGGCATTTTAAAATTAAAAAAAAAATAAATTAAATTCACTTCTTAGATTAATTTTGTAATTGTGCTTCATAAGTTCTATCTTTTCACCAAACTGATGGCTGCTTATCCTTCACCCATGGAAATGTTATCATGATGGGTCTTTCACCAAAACGTCCTAAATACAATTTTTTTTTTTTTTTGGGGAGAAATATCACATAAAAAATAATTATTAATCAAAGATAAATATTATAAATATTAATAAATAAAATTATGTATATATATTTTTTTTCATGAATTCGTAATTATTTTCTTGAACTAACCCTGATTTGTAATTTCTCCCTCCTTTTTTCTTTTCTTTTATTATTATTTTTTTGGGTTTATATTCAACAATAGCAACGTATTATTTATTTGCATTAATTTTTTAATAATTATCTCTAAAAATTTAATTATTATACAAAACAGTGATAATAAATAAGGGAAAAATTATAAAAAAAAATAAGTTTAATATGTTTTGGTTGCAATTTCATTTTATCAATAAAATATTCTTTTAATATTTTCAATGTAATGGTTTTGGAATTCTACATTTAAATGCTAAATATAAACCGCAAAATTTTATTGTCTTATGTTAACGTTAAATAATAAAATTTTATCATGTTTTTTAATATATTTGTTTTCAAAATTTTATAATTGACGTGGATTTTTTTTTTTTTTTCAGAAGAGAAGAGAGAATTTTAACAGTATCATTTTTTGTAAAAAATGGACATCGTAATACAAAGTTATGGCATTTTAAAATTTTTAAAAAAATTAAATTAAATTCACTACTTAGATTAATTTTGTAATTGTGCTTCATGAGTTTTAGGGCCAGGCATAAAGTTATCCAAACTGCACAACCCGTCCAATTCGAACTGATCCGCATATAAATGGGTGATTTTACAGACATAATGAGGGTGGATGCAGTTTGAAATATGACATTATTGCGGGTAATTCGCAACCTGCAAGAACCCACCCACACTTAAACTTTTTAATTTTTTTTTTACAACTTGGACAGTTGATTATATTCATCTTATCCTAAATATTTTTGCCCCAACAAACCAAACCCTAATCTCTTAACAAGAGTAGCATTGAGTAGCCTCTCTCTTCTCATCTCGCTCTCTCACTCTTGTTCATACTCGTTCATCTATCTCTCTCTCTCTCTGGCAACCGATGATCGGAATTGAAAGAAGTTGATCGGAACTTAAGGTAATGCAAAAAAAAAATAAATATGGATTTTGTTCTTTCCAATTTTTCACTTGTTCCCTATATGTTGAAATCTGAAGAGTTGTTCCTTTTATTGGGGCTATTGATTTTGATGTGTTTTTAATTTTATAACTTTTAATTCATTAATTATTAATGTTGAGCATTTTAGAAAATATGAGAAAAATGGTCAAAAATAAATATTTACAAAATAGAAAAGAAAAGGCCGAAAAATAAATGTTTAAAGAAAAAAGTCTAATCCGCAAACTGTCTATACATCCGCCAATCCTATTCGCACAAAACACATTTCGCATTGAGACGATTACGGATTCAATTTTTTTAAAATTATACATATACAAACACGTCCAAATCACAAACCGAATCATTCAAAATCCAACCAACCGCGAGCACCGTAATGAGTTCTATCTTTTCACCAAAATCATGGCCGCTTATCCTTCACCCATGGAAATGTTATCATGATGGGTCTTTCAAAAGGTCCTCAATATAATTTTTTTTTTTTTTGTTTAGAAGGAGAGAAATATCACATAAAAAATAAATATTAATCAAGGATATATCTTATAAATTTTAATAATTAAAATTATATATATATTTTTTCATGAATTTGTAATTATTTTCTTAAACTAACCCTGATTTGTAATTTCTCCCTCCTTTTTTCTTTTTATTTATTTATTTATTTTGGCTTATATTCAACAATAGTAAAGCATTATTTCTATGCATTAATTTTTTAATAATTATCTCTAAAAAATTTAATTATTATACAAAATGGTGATAATAAATAAAGGAAAAATTATAAAAACAATCTTACAATTTGATTATTATATCAAAATAAATCTTGAATTTTTAATTTTAATAATTTAAAACCTAATATTCTCAATATAAACTATCTTTCTGTTTTCGTTAAGTTAAACAGACTAGAAAAAAAAAATTAGCCATTAAACTCAATGAAAAGTGATATTTTAGACATTTTAGGTATACCTAACATTGAGTTTAATACTTGAAATATCATTTTTCTGTCAATTTTTTACTTAACAAAAATAGATGAATGATTTAAATTAAAAACAAATCTAAATATTATAGCTTAAATTGCAAAAAAATAAAAAACTCCGAATTTATTTTTGTAATTTCTCCAAAAATAATGAGATACTAGTATCATAGCGGAATTGCATGGAAAGGGTGAACCCAAGCTTGTGCATCCTATCTACTGGATCAAGTGTATGGGTATCGTAATCACTTGGCTAGCTACAATCATCATACCAAGCTATTCCTTTTGAAAAACGTATACGTGATATGCTATTGGAATAAATAAGAACATCATCCAAACAACTCATAAAATCATAAAAATCTTGTGAGAGAAAGCAAAATACCATCAACAAGGCCTTTATATATGCCATAGTCATTGGTTCTGCTCCATCTTCCTTCTCCTTGAGCTCAAACAGAATCTGCAGAAAATCCTTCTTCCCTTTATTCTTCACCCACCGCCTCATCACTATCCCCCGTACCCATTTTCACCCTCGCATCTATCACAGAATCAAAAATCCGCGCCACATCGACGAGCACCAGCTTAATCTCCCTCTCAAATCCCTGAAAATCAAACCTAGCAAGCACGGGAAAGAATTCCGAAACGTTCGGCTTCCCCAGAATTTCCATAATTTTCCCAGTCCCTGCTCGAAACTTGGCAACAAGCCTACCACTAGTAGTACTAACCCTCTGGCTGTCAAATGTGCTCCCCCACAACATGCTCAAAACAGCGTTAAACCCTGTCACAAAAGTCTTTTCTTAGACTTCTGTAACCATCTTGCGAATCGACGAGTCTTTTCTTGGACTTCTGTAACTATCTTGCGAATCTTGGTTCATCGAAGATGGTAACAGAAGTCCAGGCTGCTATTACTGAGCATTTCTCTGACAAATATTTTAAGCATGTTTCGCCAGTGGGACCCACTGGGGGACCACGCGATGTCAATTCCACCGTACGAGGCGACTAGCGCCGCAATAGGAGCGTCTCTGTTGGACAAAACAGAGTCTTGGTCACGGACCACTTGTTTTGCCAGGGATGGTGAGGTTATCACGACACACAGTTTTTCCCCGAGCCAGAGCTTGTAGATTGGGCCGTACCGGTGAGCCAATTCGGAGAACGATTTGTGCAGGTTTGTGCCGAGGAATGGGATGGATCCGAGTATCGGTACGCCACGGGGTCCTGGTGGGAGTGCAGCCACCATTGTTGTTCCCTTTTTTGGGTTCGTGAATGTCCATAGGTACCAGAAGATGGCTAGTATGAGAATTGAGAAGTCGTTGCTGGGTTCTGAAAGTGAAAGCATAGTTGCCGAGCTGACCATGGTTCTAAATCGCGATATTGGGTAACGTAACGATATCGATTGCGGAGTATCGGTATTAGTAGTATCAATCGGTACGTATCGGGAATTGGGTGTCGCAACGGTGAAATTTTAAAAATCATTTCACAGGTTTTTCAATTTTTTCTTTCCTGTACTGGTTCGAACCGGTGAATATCGACCCGTCGCGACTTGTGTAACGGTTAAAGACTAATACGTACTGGGACTTGGTCGATTCTCCTGCGATTTTCAATCTTAGCGATATATTGGCTTGTATTCGTCGCAGTGCCTTATTTTTTCGATACATATCGGCCGTTACATAGCGTATCAGCCGATTTTTAGAACTATAAAGCTAATGACTATATGTTTTTTAGGAAATAGATTGAAAAGAACTCTACTACTTGGTAAAGATTGTGGAGAATCGCTCAATTTATATTTACTTTCATGTGGCCTAATTGGCAGTCAAAATAAAATGGGACAATTATAAAAAATAAAAATGATACACAAATTTATTTTTTAAATTTAATGATATGTAAGTGATATGATTGGTTGATAATTAGAGAAGATAAGAGAGAGTATTGCCGTTAATATCCTAATTTTTAATATTGAATAACAATGCTCTATAAAAAATAAAAAATAAAAAAAGGGAACTACATTTAGTAGCGAGTTGGGAAAAAAAATTATCAACAAATGGAGGGCTGCAAGCGACATTTGCACCTCCCACAGTCTTTCATTTGCAGTCTATCATAGACACACTTGCACCCTCATGTGTCTGTAATTTTTTTCTCCAACTCCCACTTGTATATAATTCCTCCTAATTTTTTTTTTTAGATTTGAGTCTTGTAACAAAATAAAATCAAACTTTTCAATTTTATCAATTTAAATCTTAATATTTTGATTTGTTTTCAATATAAATTATTTGTCTATTTTTGTTCAGTAAAATTGACAAAAAAAGAATATTTTAATCATTAAATTCAATATATGTATACATCAAACGTCTAAAATAGCTTTTTCAATGAGTTTAATGACTAAAATATCATTTTTATCATCAATTTTACTTAACCAAAATAGACAAATGGTTTAAATTGACAACAAAACAAAAATTTAAGGTTTAAATTGATAACATTAAGAACTTGTGGTCAAGCTTTTCCTCGGTGCCAACTTAGTTGGGATTGACGTAATTTGCCGTGTTGCTGTTGCATCTCCCTTCATTATTGATATAATTTTGTTTGTTATGTCATCAATAAAATTCTTTTTTTGCTGATAAAAAAAAAATTAAAAACTCAAAGCTTAATTTCTTATAAGGTCAAATTCTAGAATTTTTTTTTCCAAATAAATTCAATTCATATTATTAGAAAGAGAATGTTCACACAATATGAAACTCACACCACATAAGATTCACAATGGGTATCACACCCATTTGAGTATTTGATAAAATATTTAATAATTTGTTTGGGTCTATAACATTTTTGATCTTCTAATTATCAACTTTAATCTTATAAACAAATAAAAAACTGCATCAAAGTTTGAATATTATTCAATGTGTTTAACCTCATAAGTGATCTAATTAAAAAATTATAGAAACTCACATAATAAATCCATTTAATTTATTTTGTAAAATTTAAGAAAATATTTTTATTAATTTTTTCTTTTTTTGATTGAAGTGTCAAAGATAAGAACACACAAGTTGCAGTAATGCTAGGTATCATGAAAATTTTTTCATGAAAATAATCATGAAAGTTTTGTGACTCTTGAATTACACATAGAATAAAGCACCATACACTAATCAACGTAATCCAAAGATTATAAATCTTTCATGATCTGAAATTTTTTTTTATAATCCCTAACTTTTCTCCACTAGTTACGGCACAATTCGAATGGAGATTATCTTAAAGATAAGAACCTAGTTCGCCTAGTCTCATTGGTTACGGTTCAATTCAAATAGAGACCATGCATAGAACATCGTAAGCATATCTTCTTCATTTTTCTAGAATACTACTGATGAACCTACAAACCTTATATAGTCTATAATAGTAACAATTATTAATAATAAAAAGAATTAAGTGGAATTTTTATTTTAAATGCCAAATAATTTAAAAGATATCTAAATTATTAAAAACATAAAAATTGTGGAACTATTCCTGACCCATTTAATATTGAACCACATTTATTTCACTAAAATAATAATAAATTATCTATTAGTGTAACTTACTTTAACCTATCCTTATAAAATGTACTATTACTTAAGGTAAAAAAAAACACCATTGTGACGCATTCAGTTCATAATCAATACTTATCAATGTTAAATCCCCCCCCCCCAAAAAAAAAAAAAAAAAAAAAAAATACTATATATCAATAAAGAAAAAGGAGAAGTACAATCCACAACCTAGCAAGTAGTGGTGGATGCAGAAATTATTGTACATAAATATATTAAAATATATACTTTTATTTAAAATTGAAATAATATTCAATATATGAAATAGGGAAAGCTCAATCCTGAATTGAGGTTTAAGACAAAATTTCAACAAGAAGCCTTTTTTGCATTTAAATATTATTATTTGCTATAACTTTTTAATGTAAAATAACTTTTTACACTAAAAAGTTAATGTAAAATAACTTTATTATTATGTAAAATAACTTCTTACATTAAAATAACTTTAATGTTAAATAAATTTTTAATTAAAAATTGAAATTATTCACAATATTTATTATTATGAGTTCTTCGGAAAAAATGAAATGAGAATTTTTTTGATAAATTCACTTTCTAAGAGTTTTATTCCATCCAACCCATATTCTTTTTGACTATTCCATTAGGTCCTATTTGAGATAAGAAGACCAAAATACTCTTTTCATCTACTTATGTTCCATTTAGTTCACATTAATTTCTTATGTTCCAATAAGTCCTATGGATGACATAATTACCAAAATACCCCTAATGTGAATGCTCACATCGTCAATGTGAATGTTCATATCGTCAATGTGTAGGGACCGGCCCATGTCGATCCTCATGAGTGCCCGGAAAAATTCGAGTCGGGCCCCCGTCCCATTGACAATGTGAATATTCACATTGACATGTTAACATTCACATTAATAGGAGTGTAAATTGGCCCGCGTCCCGTGGCGGCGTGAAACTCGCCCGCGGTCCATGGACGGCCCGGGACGGGCCCGGTCCGGCCCGTTGACAATGTGAATATTCACATTGACATATTAACATTCACATTGATAAGAGTATAAAATTGGCCTGTGGCCCATAGGCGGCCAAAAGCCCGTCCACGGCCTGAGCACGGGCCCGGTCCGATCCGTTGACAATGTGAATATTCACATTGATAGGAGTGTAAAATTGACCCGCGTCTCGTGGCTGCTCGAAACCCGTCCACGGCCCGTGGACGGCCCGGCCCGGCCCGGCCCGGCCTGTTGACAATGTGAATATTCACATTGACAAGTTAACATTCACATTTATAAGAGTATAAAATTGGCCAGCGGCCCAGGGCGGGCCCGGCCCGACCCGACCCGTTGACAATGTGAATATTCACATTGACATGTTAATATTCACATTGATAGGAGTGTAAAATTAGCCCGTGCCTTGTGGGTGTCTGAAACTCGGCCATGGCCCGTGGGCGGCCCGGAGCGGGCCTGACCATTTTTTTTAATTCTTTTTAATTTTTTCTACCAAAATTTTATTATTTTCCACAAAAAAAGATACTATGCCTCAGCGCGAGTCGGGCCTCGGACCGAACCTTGAATGGGCTTAACGGGGCCAATGGGCCGGGTCGGGCCAGGCTTCAAAGTGATGGCCCAGGCCCTAGCCTAGGGTCTCGGACTAGGCTCGAGCCTGGGCCCAAACGAGCCTTTCCCGGGCCGGCCCACGGGCCAAAAAATTAGGCCCAAGCCCTAGCCTTGGCACAAGGGTATTCGAGTTTTGGACGGGCCGATGGATCGAGCCTTGGGTCGGGCCGATGGGCCTGGGCCTAGCCTCAAGCTTAAGTCGGGCTTGGGCGGGCCTGACCATTTTTTTTAATTCTTTTTACTTTTTTTTACCAAAATTTTATTATTTTTCACAAAAAATACATTGCGCCTTGAGCGGGCTGGGCCTCGGACCGAGCCTTGAATGGGCCTTAAGCGGGCCGATGGGCCGGGCTTCAAAGTGATAACCTAGGCCCTAACTTAGGGTCTCGGACATACTCGGGCTAGGCCCAAAACGAGCCTGTTCCGGGCCCTGGGTGGGCTTCGGGCAGCCCACAAGCCGCGGGCCAATTCTACATTCCTATCAATGTGCATTTTAACATGTCAATGCGAATATTCACATTGTCAACGCGCCAAGCCGGGCCTACCCCGGGCCGCGGCCAAGCTTCGGGCAGCGGGCAAATTTTACACTCCTATCAATGTTAATGTTAACATGTCAATGTGAATATTCACATTGTTACGGGTCGGGCCAAGTCTGCCTCGGGCTGCAGTCGGGCTTCGGGCCGCCCACGGGCTGCGAGCCAATTTTACACTCTTATCAATGTGAATGTTAACATGTCAATGTGAATATTCACATTGTCAACGGGCCGGGTCGGGCCCGCCTTAGGTCGCTGGCTAATTTTATACTCTTATCAATGTGAATGTTAACATGTCAATGAGAATATTCACATTGTCAACAAGCCGGGCCGGGCCCGCCCCGGGCCACCCATGGGCCGTGGACAGGTTTGAGGCAGCCACGAGGCGCGGACTAATTTTACACTCCTATCAATGTGAATGTTAACATGTCAATGTGAATATTCACATTGTCAACGGGCCGGGCCGGGCTGGACCCGCCCCGGGCGGCAGGCAGGCTTTTGGCCGCCCATGGGCTGCGACCCAATTTTATACTCTTATCAATGTGAATGTTAACATGTCAATGTCAATATTCACATTGCCAACGGACCGAGTCGGGCCCGCTCTAGGCCGCTGGCCAATGTTATACTCTTGTCAATGTGAATGTTAACATGTCAATGTAAATATTCACATTGTCAATAGGCCGGGCC